CTGCCATGGCAACTGGCATCTGTGGGGTTCCTGCCTGACTGCTAGGGCTCTCTCCCCAGGCAGTTTCTGCCCCTAAAGGAGCAGGCACCCGAGTGCCCTGCGACTTTGATATAGAAAGCAAGGATAACTTGCATGGGAATGATGTTTTATATACAGCAGTGATTCTCAACCAGAGTAAATATCATTCTCAACCCTAAAATGCAAGGTTATTTTAAGGTGGCCACAGCATGTCACACACTATTAGAACTGTTAGGTGTGTAAGCACCTACACACAATTCTCAAAATAATCCCAGAGATTTAAAAGATGATACATAGTATCAAGAACATTTTGATCTGTGGTGTAGTCTTCATAAATTCTTTACAACAAATAATTGCTCAATATTTTTTTTTCCACAGTCAGAAACAGAGTGAAAGCTAAGAGCTGACATTTTCCAAGGGGTGCCTTGAATTTAAAAAGGTTAAGAACCACTGATATAGAACAAAGATATGGAGCCATGTTTCTCCTGAGATGACTAGTTCCTTTCATTTTAGCACACAGCAACATGAAGTACAATATTGTTTGTCTGTTTATATGAAATTCAGAATGCATGCATCATTAATATTATAAAATGCAAAGCACTGTAATGAAAAGTTGAATTTCTTATAGTAACTTTGTTACCATTGTTATAGATAAAGTTAATGACAAATATTTTGAAGATTTTTTTTCCACAAAAATACAAAACAATTTCAGGGTGACAATATCATAAGAGAAATTCAAGGTGCCTTACAACAAAATCAAAAAGAAAATCAATATGGCTTAACCATAAGCTAAATTGAAATAGAAACCTTTGCCCTTTCCCTTAAACTCTCTTAGAGAAGGCCCTTCATTGAAAGTGCTACATTATAGCAAGACCTTAGTGTGAAAAAGGACCAATCATAGGCAGAGCAAGCTTTAGTTGCTAGAAGAGGGATCTAACCAGAAAAATGTGAAGACTTAAACAGAATAAACAAGTTAATGCCAAACAGGATTTTATATAGTGCTCGAAAGACCACATGTTAAGATTAATTTGCTAACATGAAAGGATCCAAAGTGACCCCAGAACAAGAGTAATATCATTAGAAAATTCAACTTCTGCACAAAGCCTTACTGCTGTATAATAGAAACACTGGGGTCTATCTGTGTAGCAAAAGCAGGAAGGAGAGCAGAAAGAATTCCACTAATCAAATCAACATGTAATAAAATAATGAAAGAGAGTCTGTATGTCAACACAGAATGTGAATGAGTTATCCATGCTGTATTTTTTCAAATGGAGACAGCAAAGTTTAAGAAAGTATTTGTATGCTCAGATAAAAAAAAATGGAATTCAAACTAACCCCCAAGTTCTTAAGAGTCTCATACAGACATTCAGGTTCTCCTGGGAAAGTCACTGCTCCCTGAGAAAAAAAAAATCATGAGTATACAGAGGTTCTGGATTTTTCTCCCAAAATAAAAAAGGTTGCTTCAGGAGATAAGCAATCTGGGAAGAACCAGGGTTAAATCCTGTGAGAGTATATGTCTGTACATGCTGGGTGACTTCTCTCAGAAAGGAACAAAGTCCTCCAGCATCAATTTCCTTCCTCCCTGCCATCCGCAACACAGGAAAAAAGTGTGTCATTTTCTGGAGTCTGCTGCTCCAGCAGGGAGTAGAACATGCCTCCTTCACAATCCACATTTTGCTACAGGGAAAGGTATGTTGACTGTGGGCAGACTAGGTCAGCCAAATTAGGGCTGCTTTATGCACTGCTACTATCTGTCACCAGGAAGACCAAGGGAACCTGCAGAACAAGCTCAGTTGTGTGCCCAGGACCTCAGGCCCCACTCCTTCCTCCCCCACTACCCCAACCCCAGCTGCACAGTGTGAGCACTGCAAGCTTTCCACTCTTCATGGCTTCAATATTTAAATGTCTGTACATACAGATCTGGGTAAGCTTTTCTACCAGGAGAACAAAAATGGGAGAATTCTCCCAAATTATTTGAATGTGTGTACACAAAATCAGCAGCTAGATCTAACTTATTAAACTACAAGATCAGGAAGCTCATCTTTGTTGTCCAGTGTCTGATATCAATCATTTGCAATTCAGTCGGGATTTTATTAAGGTAAAGCAGGGTGGCCATCTAAGAATTAATTGAAGTCAGACAAATTTACAAGAAATACCTATGTACCATGCCTTCTTAATGCACTGGACTATAAGTCAATATATCTGGAATCTGTTCCCAGCACTGTTACCAACTTACTCAATGACTTTGGCAAAGTATCTTAATTGATCAGTTTGTGTTTCAGTTTCTTTATTGGAGAAAAGTTGATAATAACTAGGGCTTCTCAGAAAATAGTTTTGCTTTATGAGAACCCTGAGGCTCAAGATGTAATGGTGACCTTTTCATATTTTTTATGACCAATGGGGCAGACAGAGATTGATCATAACAGCCAGTTGCCTAGTGGCTAGATCATTCACTTTGCACATGGGCTATCTAGGTTCTATTACTGCCCTACATGATTTGGAGTAAAAATTTTAAATGGGATCTTCCAGATTGGCAGGTAACTTTTGTTGTTTCTCAAGTCCCCTTAACCAATAGAGTGCTCTAACAATGAGTCAGCCTTTCTCTTGTTTACTCACTCCAGTTGGAGCTCTCCTACTTTGCATAAACATTTGTTTCTTAGCCTAGAAACAGAATCAAATAGTATTTAGACATTAATGTGAGTTTATTATTTGTAATGAAAAAAAAATCAAAATACGTAAATGAAAGTTGGTGATGCAATTTAGGGTTAATCTCTTAACTGTTTAAATTCAGGGTTAGTGCTCATGGGAAGACAATTTAAGATGATATTATCTATAGTACTAATATAACGTAAACCTAGATGGCCCAGCCTGAAGAAATTTAAGAAATGAGGCGCTGAACTAAAACTTCAGCAAGAAAAAAACCAAATGAACTGCAATACTAGAAATGGAACTAAATTACTACCAAAACTGCTGCCAGAAGACAAAGACCGGCTCCAAAGCTCCCAAATATTTGGACTTATTCAAAATATGGAAAACTCTCCTAGATTCCACTTAGCAGAGACTCCAGAAGGCCTTCTTCAAAAGGTTAATCTTAAATATTTTCCACCATATCACAAGAGAGGATCAGACACTGGCATGTGCAGTGTGAACCTAGATTTATTCTGTGAACATGAAAATTAATCTGATCCTCAAGAAAGTCTCAGTGGGCATGTCTACCTCAGATGCATTACTGCAAAGTAGCATAGTTTACTGTTCAGTAAACATGTGTCCACATGTGCACATGCTTATGTGCTGTAAACCTTGTTAATCATGAGTAAATTTGCTACCTGCAAATGCAAGCAGCAAATTTACTCACCAGTAGTTACTGCATAGTAGTGCTCATGTAAATACCTTGGGGTGAGAGATTACTCCCTGCTGGCCACCAAGGGGCAGGAGATTGCTCCCTGCCCCTGGGAGCTGCCTGCTACTGGAGCAGGCTCTACCACCAGAGCCAAGTGAGGACTATGTCCCCCGGCCCCAGCACCAGGGAGCTTCAAGCCCCTCGCACTCCAAGATCATGATCAGAGTGGGGGGCTGGGAGATCCTTATCTCCCAGTGACAGCTCTGTGATCATGGGGCCAGTGCTGAGAGATAAGGATTTCCCAGCACCAGCCCCATGGTCACGGAGCTGGGAGTTCCCTGGTAACAGGGGGCTGCAGATTCTGTTCCCCACCCAGATCCGTGATTGTGGAGCAGGGTGAGGAACAGGCTGGAGACCCTCTGCCCAGCTGGGGGCTTGCTGCTAGTTGCCCCACCAGCAGATCAGAGCAGGGGGCTAGGACCTACCCCTCCCCTGCAGCTCTTTCCAAGTCCCCTACCCCAATCAGGAAACTGGGATTGGGAGCTTCCTACTGCTGGGACAGGGGACATTGTCCTCCCCCGCAGCAGCAGACAGCTCTCCGGGGGCAGGGAGCAATGTCTCGGCTCTGGCCAGCAGACAGTTGTCTCCTGGCCTGGTGCTCCCTGCCAGCCCTTGGTCCAGCACCCAGAGGAAACCTTGAGCCTTGGTGGTGAGAGAGGCCCATTGCAGGGCCACAGGAAGTGAAAGAAGTTTGCTGCTAAGAGCAGCAAATCTGCTCCCATGTTCCTGCATTGATGTCTGCCTGGGAGCATTTACTCACAAGTAAACTGATCTCAGATCACCTGTATATGTACACGTGCCCATTAAAAAGGAAACTTTACAGAAGTTACAGTATGGTCAGGAATCCTGAGCAGACTTTCACACAGACTTGACCTTTGATACATCTGCTACCTGCAGAGTCAGACTACCCTGCTAGCTCCCATACCTTGGTTTTACGTGCCCCAGAGCTCCACCCCTTCCTGTTATCTGGCTCTCCAGCCCACACAGGGGTTTCCACTCTACTTGATAATCAGTTTAGCTCAGCTGCCACTGTTTGTCTAACAAGCTTTGGCTTGTTATTGCTCTGCACCCTCCTGGGGACTGTTTTCTTTTGGGGGCTGGCTGCTGTTATTGTTAGACCTTCATGGCTACAACAGTCCTGTTCCCCCTTAGATTGCAGCTAACAGGGTTACTATTTCCTGTTACAAAGATATTGTCTAACTTAGGGAAACATAGTGTGATCCAAAAATCTTCATATCCAGTTTTGTAAAATAGAAAACAGAAGGAAACCTACTGGATTAAATCAGCAGGATAAATCAATTATAACTCAGATCAGTGGGAATTAGATTTAATTCCCTCTCATGGTAAACATGGAAAGAATCAATATAATTTGAATAGTATTTTATAATGGCTGAGAATCTTGCAATAGGATAATGAAATTAGATTTTTTTTTTAAAGCTGAGCAATAACAGAACTGTTAAAATTAGATCCTGAAACTAAACCAGAGATAAAAAGATAAACTTTCAAAATTAACTTCTATTAAATGAGAGAGAGATGGGATTAGGCAGGACCCCCTGAATACCCATGTAAAGCTAAAAATCCAAAAAGTTCAACATTAAGAAATTGGGGTAATATGTTTGTAATAGGAAATCTTTGTAGAAGCCAGTTATTCAGTGGGGGAGGATCCCACTAATAGGTTTCAGGTAAGATTAGCAAAATTTTAAGAGTTTATTTTTAGCACAGACTGGTTTCCTGCAAAAAGGAGGCAGGCAAGAGATCTGCTGGTAGGGCAACTAGAACAGCTCTTACAGCCAGACCAACTAGGGCAGATGAACCTCCGCAAAGAATAAAATAATATACTGCTATATCCAGCCTCAGTTAGTAGTTTGCTAAGTTCCATAGGGCTTTTGTCCTTGAAAGTAATACCACTGATTAAATAGAGTAAAAGAAGAATGAGTACAGTATTAAATCAAAGTAAATATTAGACCTGGTCAAATTCTTTGTTGTGGATTATGTTACAAATGTAGCCTTTTTTTCGCAATGAAAATCATTTGTACATTAATCTAAATGTATGAATATACTGATTATTTGTAGGTACTCACCAAATAGCTTGTCCCAACAAAATAATTGTTGTTAGTGGTGTGATTGGTTACCTACATCTAATATTGCATCTACTCTCAAGTTGGAATCTGAAAGTTTTAAACAAGTGAATGACAGACAAGTAAAAGGTAAGATTTTAGCATGACTTTTTTGGATAATGGTTATTACTTATGTACTCATACCTATTAATTTTTCAGGATTTATAAACATCTTTACAGCTACTGAACAGTTGTCTAAATATTAATGCATGATAAATATTATGGCCCCATAATATAACTGGATTTTAGCAATCTCAGTGTTTTCATTAATGAGAATAGTTTTGGCAAGGTATATGGGGACTGGCATTTGAAGATGAGTTAAAGAGTTATAGTTTAACTCATGGTTGCAATTGGGACAACGAAAGGAACATGATGGGTTTGACTTCTAATATCCTTCAACTAAAACAACTTTGATATTTAAGTCTATACATAATTTTCACAATACATATCAAATAACAGTACTGTTGTGGTGATGTTGCTGTGATGGTGCAGGAAACATGCTAGAGGCAAGAATTCTTGTGGGTGATCTCTTTTTTGGATCAACTGCATGGTTGGGATAGACATAGGAAAGCCTTTGGGTATCACAGTACCCTTCCTCAATGAATGAGGTATGATTTATTTGCCACAGAACTAGCATTTAATGAAGTGATTGCTCAACTGGTAAATCAATCAGAAGCTTTATCTTCAAGTTCACATGAAAACATAATGGAAATAAAGGGATGGAAACACCAGTGAAAAGTGAAGGCTGTGGCAATATTTTAAAAGGGTGTACCATGGGGTTTTTAGATTGATATTGATCCTGGAAAGGCTGATACAGAACATAATCAGTAAAGAATGATAAGATGATAATATAATTATACTGATAAAATTGTTTTGTATGGAAGGAAAATTACATTCAACAAACAATATCTTTTTTATTGTAATTTCAAGTTTGTGATAAATTTACTATATGGCCAGTATATTCTTAGTTCAACTAGATTTACAAGATGTATAGATTGATTAAAAAATCTGATATTTTTGAGGAAAACTGTTCCAAAGAAGATGGAATCTTGCATTTTTACTTTTTCATTTTTAAATGCATTATTTTATTATTTTATGTACTATAATTTATAATACTATAATATAGATGGCAGAGCAAAAAGTCCTTTTAAATATAAAATGGAAGGGGTCCACTTTGAAATACTTCAACCTTATCAAATGGTGTATTTAGATTTTTGGTGGAAAAAAAATCATTAAAATTTGCATACTATGTGGAACACCTCACTTTCCTCAATGCACTGGAAAGTGTGTGGCTGTCAAATGTATGACTAGCTCTTATGCTTAGCCGTGGTAAGGCATTTGACTTAGCCCCCATTGGCAATTCTGATTATAAAAAAAAAAAAAGCATATAAAATCAATGGAGCCCTATCAGAAAGTTGCTGGTTCTTTTAAGTAAAGTAGTTCTAGCTCCCACAAGATGGAGAATATGTATGCCAGCGGGGTAGAGTGGCATCTGTGACCTATAAATGAAGATAGAATGGGCTGCTTGCTTTTTAGAAGTTCCCTGGACCAATCTACATGCCATCCACATGAAACGGGTTTGAAAAAGACAAGTGTAATCTTACAATATATCATGAGAGACATTCTCAGATATGGCTAGAACAACACCATTAATGGCTAGAACAACACCATTAATGGTGTTGTTTCATCCTTAGGGAAAATGAGCTCAATTGCAACAAGTGCTGTAAGATTATTATGGGGATAGCAAAATTATGAGGGGAGTAAAAAAATACTTTGGTTTAGTTAGCTTATTAAAAGGAAAGCTGAGAGCAGACTTACTGGCTAGAAATGCAAAGTGGGGTAAACACCAGGGAGGCAATAGAACTATTTAAGAAGGTAAAGGAAAATGTTGGCCCAAGAACTTCTAAGTTCAGCATGAACTTTGAAGGTTTCTAACTGTTGATGTTTTGGGACAGCCTTCCAAAGGGGCAGGGGGTGATTTACTTCACATGGTTCTATTGAAAAGCAAAAGACTGGACTTTGTGAATCAGTTCTGTGATCCATATATTGGGTTTAGTAATGAATACCATGTTACTCAAAGAATGAACTCTAGGAACTGCAATGGATAAGCAACTATAAACATGTTGTATCTGGTGAGAATTGATTTGCACCTCATGGATTCAGAAAGGAATCCTGTTAACTTCAGTTATACAAATTATTGTTCAGTCTTGTGTTAGTCACATAAACCAAAAGTGTATTCCTAGTATGCTAGGAAGTGTGTGCAGTAGGGCTGCTTTATTTTCCAACAATTGGTCCTAGTCAAAATATGATTTCTGACTAAGTGGAAGAGACTCTTTTGCGGGAAAAAATGTGTGTTCCTCCATAATAAATGTGCCTATGAGGTCTGGAGATCCTTGGCTTTAGTTTAATTAGGACCAATTAATTGTTAAAATGATAATGACACAAGGGATTTAACTAGCAACTGAGCAGTAGGATTATTTCTAACATAGACTGGCTAGGTAGTAAAAAGAAGTACAGCTGAGTGGACTGGCATCATTATAGGGTTTAACTGACCATTATGCATTCTGTCTTTGGACAGTCAGTCCATGATATTGTTCTGGAATGAACTGTTGACTGGGTTCAAGAAGATACATGTATCTAAATTATCCCAGCTAAGCTGATTCCTTAGCTTCCTTTAATACTGTATTCTTTTTCAGTTAAATATGTTAATTCTTCACTCCTTATGCTGTTTCTTACTTTACTCAGGCAAATAGTCCCACTTACTGCAGGCTCAGGCACTTATTTACATGTTCCAATATTGCTTTTAATATCTGCATGCCAGACGTAGTAAATGAGTTGTATTAATGCAATTTTAAGATTGATTTTTTCTGTGCCTCTTAACACCTCCTTTTCTTCGCTTGCTGAGTACATGCTTAAATATATTCATAGCATATAGCACAAGGTACTAGATTCTACTTTCACCTAGACTGATATGAGAAAATTCACTGACTAGAACACTTCAACACATTTTTGAAATAAAGTTTCATTGTAGCAATTGTTTATCTAGAGTTCAAAAATATACTGTTTGATAATATTTACTTAACCCAGTGAAAGGAGCTCGCTGGAGTTTGGTTTCAAGTGATCACTGCTGGGATAGGATTTCGGTTCCATCAGCTAGCAATGATTGGGATGGGGTAGAGTTGTGGGATGAGGGGAGCCAACCTGTTATACAACACTTCTTTCTCCACAAGTTCGTGGAATTAGCAGTTTCATTGAACCTGCTATGACTTACAGCTTGTCTATTTATCAAACTCTTAGAAATCATAGAAATGATAGAAAAGGGGTGTTAGAAGGGACCTCCAGTGGTTAACCAATCCAACCTCCTGCCTGAGGTAGGATCATCCCTATCCAAACCATCCTATCCAAATTCATTGTCTAACCTGTTAGTAAAACTACATAGTCAACCCTGACACAAACACAAAACATAACACCCTAACTTGCCACAGGTAAAGTAAAGGGATCACAGCAGTCATCCTGCTGCTGGAAAGGTTGTTAAAATACACTCAAGTACTAATGAAGTGGGTCATGCCCCCTGCTACATAGGAAGGCAAAACACCCACAGACCATGTGAATCTGGCCATGGCATAAAATTCTTTCCTTACCCTTGCAGACATGGTGATTGGTCTGATCCTGAGCATAGGGGCAAGATCCTATGGCCAGAAATCTCCAGGTTCCAGTCACAGCAGAAGCACTGGCACACCCCAGTCAAAGTCCCGAGCCTTCACTGCAGTCAACACCCAATGCTTCTGAGGAAGGCAATAAATAAATAAATAAATAAGCCAAAAAACAAGCAAATAAAAAAACAAAACCCTAATGCATGTAGTAACACAAGGGGGAAAAAAACCTTGTTCTCATGTGGCAGTGTGGCAGCCAACAAAGCCAAGAAGCATAGGAAATAACCTTACCAGAACATAGGCATAACCACTCCAAAATCATCCCCAACCAATGAATATCCAAATACTTCTTTACACCCCCAGTGATGAAAATGTCACAACTTTCCTAGATAGTCAGTTCCACTGTCTTACTGTTCTAATAGTGAAGAATCTTTTCCTGATATCCAATCTAAACCTGCTTTGTTGCAGCTTCTTCTTTATGGCAGCTCTTTGGATATTTGAGGACTGCTATCATGTCCCCTCTTAAGCACCTTTTTCACAAGGTGAACATGCCTACCTCCTTCAGCCTCTCCATGTATGACTTGCCTCACAAGCCCTTTATCATTTTTGTCACCCATCTCTGGACCCTATTTAACTTCTGCACTACCTTTTTCAAATGAGGAATGCAAAACTGTATACAATACCCTAGGTGAAGCTTACCCAGTGCCAAGAAGAAAGGCACTATCATCTCCTATGTCTTGCACCTAACACTTTTACTGATTTATCCCAAAACTGCACTTTCCCTATGTGTATCTACATCACAATGCAGGCTTATATTAAGTCATGATCTGCCAAGACTCCCAGATCCCTCTCCCTAGTGCTGCCATCCAGTCAAGTATCACCAATTTGATTAGTCTTCCTGAAGACTACTACCTTAATTTTGTCAATAATGATGCTCCAGCCCAGGTTTGCAATCTGTCAGGATGCTTCTGAATTCTGCTTCTGTCCTCCAGTGTGTTCTCAGTCCTTCCCAGTTTTGTTCTGTCTGCACATTTGCTCAAGATCTGTATTCTAACATCCAGATAATTAATAAACATGTCAAACAGTACTGGGCCCAGCACAGATCCCTATGGCACTCCACTTGAAAGCTCCTGCCATTCTGACTTGGATCCATTTATAATTATCCTTTGTTTGCATGTAAGATGCCTGTCCATCTTACAGTAGTTTTGTCCAACTGACATTTCTCCAATTTATTTACGAGATGCTCATGTGATATCTTGTCAAAAGCCTGGGTGAAGTCCAGATACACTATATCCACAGCCTTCCCTTTATCCACCCATGTAGTTATTTTGTCAAAAATGAAGATCATATTTGATTGGCATAATTTATTTTTAGTTAATCCATGCCGGCTGGTTGTGGCCAGCTTTTCCTCCTCCAGATCCTTGCAAATGGATTTCC